AATTTACTTGCATCTCCATAAAGAAAAGCAAAGGCAAGTTTTGAACTCTCTCTCCCTTCCATCATCTCAGATACACAAGCATACCTTTTTCATTTTCCCTCTCAAAATAAAATTTTCTTTCTAGCCTCTCAGCCAAGAATAAAAAAATTGATTAAGCAGCCTTCTATCTACATTAATGGAAAATCTGGCCGCATAAATTGGAAAAAGATTTGTTGCTTCCCAGCATTACTAATGCTGCATATGCAAGGATTGTCACAACAAAATTCAGAAAGTAACTCAAAGAGATGAAATCAACTGTTAGAACTGTGAGGAGACATGAAAATGATCGAACTTTTTAAATGGAGAACAGTATAATGAAACCATCATTATGGTCATAATTGAGGGGTCTTCTTATAGTGCTTGCAGTATTAGAATAAAAACAATGAGCAATATTGGAACTAACGAATGCCCTCATTTGCAAGTTAAATAAGAGAAAACTAAAATAATATTTACATTTCAACCATTCAGTATCCACTAATAATTACAAATCTAACTAAAAATGTCAGGACAAAACACCAAAAAGACACATTGAACACCAAGTTCCAAAGGTCTATGGAGAGTGTTTTATTAACTTCAAAAATTACACTCAAAATAGAGATTTAGTGTTTGGTATGACTCATATATCAGGAATTTGGAGTCTCTTGGATTTGGAGAGGTGTGTCTCCAGGAATGAAGAGGTGTGTCTCTTGGATTAATGAGTTGGGGGGAGCGAGGGCGTGTTTGTAATTATCTGTGGGTTTTATCTATAAATAGATGAGTAACCCTATGGGTATGTAACTCCTCTGAAATAGTGAATTTGTCGCTCTGCTCCAGAGGATGTAGGCATCTTTGTCGAACCTTGTTAAATCTCTGTGTTCTTCTGGTTTTGTGTCGATTCTATATTTTCTTGGCCCTAAATTTTGCAACAATTGGTATCAGAGTCAGATTTTAGGGTGAAGGAGATCGGTGCAGGAAGAAAGAAGAAAAGTTTTTTCGGACGGTTTTTAGACAGTTCGAGGAAGAAGAAGTTTGACAATTCGGTGGAGGAAGAGTCGTGTGCAGAGTATTCGAATAAACGTCTGTTGCAGAAGCAGAGTTCGCGCGCGCAGACTTTGAACGTGACAAGAGGTATTTCACGGGAGGTTGTGCGGTTGCAGGTTCTACCAGAAAGGGGCGAAACAGGTTCTGCTACAGGGGTTCGGCATCCAGAAGAGTTCGCGACAAAGGAGGAAAAATCGCTCCTTCCAAGCGGGTGGTTGTGAATCACTCTTTCTAGTCGGTTTCAACGAGGCATTCGTAAGCAGTTCTCCTTCTAGGCGGGCGGTTGCGAATTGCAGCGAGGACCTGTAAGCAAATTAAGGAAATTTTCAATTTCCTGTCCTGGAAGCGAATTCCTTTGCCGGAGTGAAGAAACACCAGAGTGAAAAAACAGCTGAAGGTTCGCCAGTTTCATAGAGGGCTGCGGAGGAGTTCGCGAATCGGCACAGTAGTTCGTAAATCGACGCGACTGCTTGCGGGAAGGAGTTCCTGCGGTCAGGGGAGTTCGGCGAACTTGGGGCAGCATCGTAACAAGAAGTTCGGTGTTCACAGGTTTCGAGGCGCGACAGTTCACGAACCTTCACGGTATTCAGCGAGGTGGAGTTCGTGAACAGGAGTTTGTGTGCAGTAGCGCGAACATGAGTGTTTGCGAACAGAGGAGTTCGGACAACGGATTTCGCAAGTTTGTCGCAGGAGTTGCGGCAGGTGGTACTCAGTCAACGGAGTTTGCAATTTTATCGTAGGTAGAATTACGGCAGGTGCAGTTGCGACAGGTGGTGCTCGGCCAGAGGAGTCTGTAAATTTGTCGTAGGAGGAGTTGCGACAAGTGCAGTTGCGACAGGTGGTGCTCGGCCAGAGGAGTTCGCAAGTTTCTGTAAATTTGTCGCAGGAGAAATTGCGAAAGGTGGAGTTCACGAATTTCGCAGATTGTTCGTAGGTTTGTCACAGGAGAAATTGTGACAAGTGGAGTTCGGCTGGTGTTCGCAGTATTTCGGCAGAATTTTTGTGCGAACAGGAAAGGTGTTTCGTGTGAAAATTTTAATTCACGAATCACAGGAAACTGCGGGAAAATTGCTGCAATTGACAAAAGAAATTTCAAGTTTATTTGAATTTATTTGTGGTGTGTTTTGTTTCAATACAAGGCAGGAAAAGTTCACTGCATGATTAATTTCAAATAACAATGTTGTCTGGTGCACAATGTCTAGTGCAAAATTCGAGATAATGAAGTTTGATGGAACCGAAAACTTTGGATTGTGGCAAATAAGGGTGAAAGATTTGTTGACACAACAAGGAATTTTGAAGACATTACAAGCTATGAAACCTGATGGTAATACCTATAAACTGTTGGGGAGTACAGTTGTTAGTCGAGTTTACTTTGTAGGATCATATGATGAAAATGCAGCAGGAAAGTTGACCAAGCCAGATATTTTCAATAAGTTCTTGCGTTACTTGAATTTGTTGAATGTTTGCAGTTGCTAGTTGGCATGGTTGCCCAACCCACTTCGGTGTAAGAAACTTCATGATGTATTTCTCCTAAGGAGTTGGATATCGCAAGGTGGAGATTTTTTCTCCTAAGGGGCTGAATATTCGCAAGGTGGAGATTTTTCTCTTAAGGGACTGGATATTCGCAAGTTGTGGATTTTCTCCTAAGGGGCTAGATATTCACCAAGGTGGAGAATTGTTAGGTATGGCTTATATATCAGGAATTTGAAGTCTCTTGAATTTGGAGAGGCGTGTCTCCTGGAATGAAGAGGTATGTCTCTTGGTGTGAAGAGGTGTGTCTCTTAGATTAGTGGGTTGGTGGGAGCGAGGGCGTGTTTGTAATTATCTGTGGATTTTATCTATAAATAGACGTGTAACCCAATGGGTATGTAACTCCTCTAAAATAGTGAATTTGTCGCTCTGCTCCCGAGGATGTAGACATCTTTGTCGAACCTTGTTAAATCTTGTTAAATCTCTGTGTTCTTCTGTGTTATCTTCACCCTAAATTTTGCAACATTTAGTTCCTAATTCAACAAACCAAAGTTTATACTTCCACTAGATAATAACAAATATTTGTCATAGAGGCTCTACCAACAAACTACAGCTTTTCAGTTTTAAGGCGGACCTTTCAAAATTTCTCAAATTAAGCCAAATTTCTCAAAATTTTTATGTCAGAAAAATCATTGATTATTTCAATAGTTATATTGTTTGCTGAATGCCATTGACAGCCTTCTTAATAAGAAATCAAGTTACACGCAAAAGCAAAAAAAGTATGCAAATGATCATTAGCTTGTTGGAAAAATACTTCAAGCTGGTGTGGAAAGGTGAAGATCTGTTATTTCAGAGGATTAATTCTGAAATGGCAGGCATTTATCCGTGGATGAATGCTATTCTTGAGAGCTTTCAACCTGTTTGATAGCTAACAAAAGAACAAAATGTCAACAGAAAATAATTTGGAGAAAGCTTAAATGCAATCTGGAAACAGAAATTTCACGCCTTCTAATCCACCAAGTAACAAATGGCTGCAATGTAAGTGCAGTCATCGCTGGGCACCCAGAATTGGTGGCCTAGCTCATGTATTATCAACAAGAAATAAACTTCTCATGGCTAAAAAGTTTATGAGCATAAGAGCATCATGATTTGTCAAATTAAATCTCCAAGACAAAGCAGGAATTTACCATTACATCATACTGACAATCATTCACTTAAGAAGGACCAAATGTGGACAAAACAATAGTTTTGTACTCTTTTTCCCTTACATAAACGGTGACAGAATCTATGGGCACGAAAAATCTGAGGTATGTCACAGAGTTACATAAATTGAACCTGATAAATCAAGTTTTCATCATATTTCTCCTTTTAATATCAAAATTCAAAATTCTGAGTCCCTCAAATCATCATCACCATTAGCCGTATTCCAACTTTCTGGGGTCATCATAAATATCTCATTATTCATATCACTGTTCAGTGTTTTCTAAGGTATTGAGCTTTTTCTTCACAAATCTTTTTGAATGATTGCCAGTCATGTAGCGAAAGATTTAACATTTTTTTTCTTTCTAATCTTTCGGCAATAATTTCATCAACTCGTCTAAGGAGTGCACTTTCTAGCATTCATTTGGCATGTTCAAACCATCAAAATCTATCTTCAGTCACATAATTTTAATAGATATAACTCCAATCTGTCCACTAATATAATCAATCATTAAAAATTCTTCTTAATTTTGCAACACATTCATAATCCATATTATCATTCTAATTTCCACTATAGTCAACTTGGATATCAATAACCTTTTCATAGCCCAATATTCAAATCAATACAGTAATGTCGACTTTATCGTGGTTTCATGAAATTTACATTCAAGTTTCCTAATATATTCTAATAATGCAAAACACCTTAATTTTGGAAGTTATATCCATATCAACATCTTCATTTTTCTTTATAATAGACCCAATATACCTAAAATATCACACTTAACTATAGCCCTATTTTCTAAAAATATTAAATGATAATTGTTAGCATCATAATCATTAAAATTATATATCATATATTCAATCTTTATTTTACTAATTATAATTCTAATAGTTTTATCTTCGAAATACTTCCACAAGTATTGCAAATTTTACTTAATTTTGTGAAAATTTAGCTAATTATAAGTAAGTAAATCTTATGCAAACACCGAGGCATCCCACTTTGCATATCCTTTATAAGCATCATCATAAGCAGTACAAGAAGGTATAGACTTAATGCTAATCTTTTATGTAATCTTTTGCAAAATGAAATCTCTAGGCCACTCCACACATCTATTGCTGATAATAGTTACTGCTCCACCATATCTCTAGGTCACTCTTTTTGAGCAGATTTTGAGCTCACCTTTCAAGCGACCCCAGCCCAGCTCCAAATCAAATCATTCACAACCCTACTTGCTCAAGAGCAGCTGGAGAAAAATTTTGTTATCACTCACCAATCAAAATGCACAAAGAGAAATGTTGGGAGCTTGAAATCACTCTCCCTAGCGAAAGAAATAAACTGTGATATGTCCAATGCAGCAGATTAAACTCTATTTCACACCAGTTTAAAAGACGACATTCCCGCACTCTAACAATCCCAATCACCGGAGAACTAGGGCTCGACGGCCTCCTGCCATGGCGAGAGTTGGGGGTAGGAAGATGAAAGGAAAAAATGATAGAAAGAGAGAGAAGCTGAGTAAGCAATACCTTCTTCACTTGTCTCTACAAGTTCGCCGGCGGCAAGCCAAGACCAGCGACCAGTACACTACTCCGATGGAGATATACAGTCTAGTTCCGGCGAGCCGGGTCGACTTTTCTCAGGTAGAATTCCGGAGGACTGCACCGTTAGCCTAACAATTCTTGGAGACAAGCGTTATTACGCAGTTCGGGTAAGATCCCGAATAACCTTCTAATAATTCACTTATTAAGATAATAACCTTCTAATAATTGTGTTATTAAGATAGTAGCCTGAATAACATCTCAATATCCTTCCAATAATATATTAATACATTTCACGGTTCGGTGATCATTTTTTTTCCCATCATTCGAGGGTTTCATGAGGTTATTGAGAGTATTAAGCTTAATAACAGCGAGATAACCCTTCAATACCCTCCAAATAACATTCATATGCAACCTAAATATTTTTCCTTCACGTGACGGGGTTCGAAATTTTGGGGTCTAAAAAAAAATATTTACTAAAGAAACGACTTATAATAATTAAAGAAGAAAATTATTTTATAATGTTTTCGAAACAAATTCTTTCGTCTATTGTTATGATTTTTGGAGTGAAAAGTAAATTTCTCTTGTACATGAATATATTGTTTATGTCTCAAGTGTAACTTGTGTTATTTTTTTGTATAATATTTATTGTTATTGTGTTACATAAATGAATTCAGCCCAATATTCAAGCTACATTAGACATAGTAAAAAGTTTTGTGACAGCAACTTGTGACATGTGATATTTAACACTTTTAAAGGTAAAATTGGGGAAAAAGATTTTACAGATGTTAACGAATCAAACAACAATGATTGTGATTATTTTAGATGGATAGATTAAATAGATGATGGACTATATGATCGAATATATGTTGAAAGAGCATTGAGCGAGAAAATTGTGAAGAGTATATTGAAAGAGCATGAGTGAGACTTGAAGTTCTTCTTTAAAATATTAATTGTGTTATATTTTGTAACAATTGCTATGTTATTCTTAGTATTTGTGTTCTTTTGATTTTAATGATTGTAGTCTAGTATGTTGAAAAAGAACTGTTGTTATTGTTGAAGTCATGATTTTTTAAAGATATCTAAGTACTTTTAAGTATGAACCTTTGTAAAACTAATTATGTTCTAATGTACTCTATTATATGTGGTTGTTCTATGTATCTTGATGAACTTGAAAACTCTTTCTAGCATTTTGAAATGTTCTGAAATTGAGTAAAGTTTGTGGCATCTTATTTGTCTTTAAATCAGATGTACGTATATGTATAAAGTTGTATGGTATATTTAGGTTATAGATGTGTAAATTAAGATTTAGGTGTTATATATGTAAAGTTCAATGAATTATGTGGTATGTATTTGTCAAAATAATTCTTCTGCAAAATAAATACTATTTGGTTTATGAGAGAGTCAAATATTAGTGTTTTAACTAGCATCTGGTGAGTACCAATGACTCGAAAAAAAACAAAATTTAGAGAGAAATAAAACCTGCATAACATATTGCCCAACATAAGTTTTTGTGATTCTAGAGCTCTGAATCGATGCCAATGAAGCAATACCAAATAAATTTGAACTTCATTTACCTAAAACATTTTGTTCATTACACATTTTTTATTTACTAATGTGCCAAAAATAACCACTTTATGAATTATTGTTTTTGAACAATAAAAGGTACATGTGAAAGATTTTCAGAGCATATCTAGTGCAAAAGATCCTCAATGAGATCCATGCTATTTTTTGAGTTGCCATCAATTCCACAATTTGCACCTCCATCTCTGAGAATCATTATCATGTATACAACTTTTAATTGAATCAACATTTATTATAGAGTAAAAATCAATCATCTGATTTTCAGATATATCCAAGGTATGAGAATCAATATAGTTCTCCACAATAGACAGAGCGGCGGTTTCACTAACAAAGGAATCTGTGGCAATAATGTGTACATTGAGAAAAGCAGAGATGGAAATGAAACTTAAGTGGACAAGAAATGGATGAAATAAAAAGAGTCGTTGGTAAAGATTCTAAAGATCTTTCATTGAATCAGACTATACCAACAACATATTCATCACAACTAACATGAAAATAACATGCAATGAAGACTAAAAAAGGACTTCTTATTTAAGTCATTAAATATGCATGTAGGAAATTTTAATTGTTTAGTTCTTGGCTTTAAAATCATAGGTGTGAGCATAGCATATTATGCAATAATTCTTCTATGTTCATTACTAAGTAGGTATGAACATTTAGTTGATCTCATGCATTTTTTGAAAAGGATTTATTATATATGTTAGATCTAACCAGTAGCAATGTTAAACTCACAAAATTCAAAGAAATTCAAAAAAAATGTTAATTTTAATCATCATAATGTAGTTAAAGAACTAGTTGTAAAAGGAGTCCTGTCTAAGCTAACAAGTTAAACAACTTATCTTGCTCAACTAGAGTTGGAGCAATCTTGTATGATTTACTCTTTCGTGCATTGAGATACCAAATAAGAAGGTTTATTAGCATAAAGAAGAAATGCAAAATGATCGCTTAGATTCCTATCTCTTCAATGAAAAATGTAAGGTTGGAGAGCAATATACGAAATAATCAAAACACAATCCATTCTAAATAAAATAATCATCTCTATCTTATCACCCGATTTGAGTTCAATAATTTTATATGATAAACAATCTATCTTTTTCATAATATGAATCATGTGATGATATCAATACATATTGTTAGCTAAGATAGGTACTTACAAAAATTGAACAAATGTAAACCTTCACTTAATGATGACGTAAAGAACCATAGAATAATAGAAAAACACCAAAAAATAAGCAAATCCAAAGAATGCAAATAAAATTCAGTATCATTTGGTGTGAGGATGTAAAGTTTCACTTAGTGAGATTATTCCATTCCACCCCTTTATATTTGTAGTTAGCCATAAATTTAGTAGTAGAACCCATATTACTTGAGCATTTGGTGGAATATTCAGTTTCTAACACTTACGAACTTTCTTAACTCAACATAGTCTTACAAGTAGTTCTATTATGGCCCTAGAATCTACATTGCCCATATTTATGAACATGTCTTCTCTTCATGACATTGCTCTCTAGAAAGTATTGTAATCTTATTCTTTTTAGGTCTATCTCTTGGCCTTAAACTGTTAGGCACTCCAAAGTATGTGTTATCTGTTGCCAAATTTCACTACTATTTTCCTGGAAGAGTTGATATACGAATCACGTAAGTCAAGTTATACCTACAAATGAAACAAATAAATTAATACCACACATTTTACTTGAAAAAAAAAAGAAATTTCATACATGTTAACAACCTAGAAACATAGTAACAATTGTGAACATAATTGTGTTATAAAAGTTGCTCTTTGGAACTAATGAATTTCACTACATGATTGCATGCTAAACCTCTAATTTACCAAACTCTAGAAAAACCTTCTCTGGTATTGATATCCACTTCATGTATTTCATGGCTCCCTTCAATCTCAGCTTTGTAAAGTTTTGATGGCCTTACCATTAGTTGTTCTTTTTTAGTAGATATTTCTCTCAAGTAGTCCTCTGCATATGGAACTAACTCACACTTCCATTTTTTTTCTTTTAGCTTTCTCTTTGCCCTTACTTTTATAAGTTTTGCATGAATCATATATATTAAATCAAACACTTGCATGCTTCTAACTTCGTCAACTCGAGAAATAAATGACTTAGTTAGATTGTTTGTATTATAATGATTCTCAATCTTAGTGGAGAAATCACTTCTAGCGCACTTGTAAGGTAAAAATAGTAAATATGCAAACACTTGCAGGGAGATATAGCGCAAATCATTCATCACATCATCAAATTTCTGCTTAGTGTAACAGCTAAATGCAGACCACACTAAGCTTGTAACTTTATCGATGTCCTTATAATGTAACATTTGTTTAAATTTCTTTAATAAATGACACATGTACATACTGTGTGTTCTACATTTGGGAATATCGTCTTAACTACTTCTCTAAAATCATTCTCCATATCATATATGAAAACAATCTTATGTTGCTCAAACGTAATCGCGTCAACCAATTGTTCAAAAAATTACTGTCATGTGTTCTTTGACTCTTCTCAGCTACAACGAATGCTACATGAAACAATCTTCTATATTCATCCAATGAAGTTGTAGATAGAAGAACACCCAGGTACATAGATTTCAAATGATAGGCATCAACGCCAATCAATGTCTACACCATGCTAGAAATCCATCAATAGAGGTTGTAAAAAACAAAAAATCATTTGAAATTTAAGTCTTGCTTACTACAAGTGTATGAAATATAAGATCCAGGCTTTTTATTCATCAGTTTTGCTTGCAATGCAAGTATGCAAGTACCCACTTAGACTTGTCATCAACCAATTTGAAAATGTTACTCCTTGCTTCTTCTCTTGATCTCCACAACTTCATATATGAAAGTGATAGCCCATACAAATTCTCAAGATTCTTTTTCACAATATTTTTATCTCGTGAGCTTGCCCAAGTTGTTATTGTTTGTTTATTCCCTGCTCTGTTCACACCAGGACATAAATGCTTCGGCTCGAATCTTCTTACATCAAAATAATTTTCATCTGCATATAGAGTAGTGTAGCTCGTACTCTCCAAGAGCATCCATAATGTGAACAAAAACAACAATGCGGGATCTATTGTTAGCTTCAAACTTCAACCCAAAGTTGTTTTTAGTTATAATAAAGTGGATAAATTGCCTGAAATGGACAAAATCACAAAAATTGGCACCATTTTTCAAGTCATTATCACCGACTATTTTTGTAATAAGATATTCCTCATTGTAAATCTCTCCCTCAATGTTCTCATTACAGTTGAAAGTAGATTGTGCGTAATAGATATCTAACATGGTACCACCAATCCAAACTTCTTGACCTTCCGAACACATCCCAAGATCTCTTTGATTTTGTGTGATAATCACTACCTTCGTTCAACCACTTCCATTAGAACGAGCAATCATTTTCTTAAATTCAATATCACTACTGATATGAATCTATTATTTTGGCGATGTTCCACTTTTATCATATCACAGGTCAAATCCATGTATTTTGAGCCAATGACTTATCACATCAATCTGCTCCTTTATGACCCTTGGGAACGTAGGAAGAATAATACTCTGTTTAGGAACCGTTGAATGTAAAAATTCATAAATTTAATAATGTTGATTTTGCTTATTTTAATGAATATTTTATTAGAATATTTTGAGCTGAAATTTTCAGATGAGAATATTACAAGTGGCATTCAAATGTGCGAAGTATGGATGTACGCCCCAAGTTCACATTGTATACCTTAAGCACACCTGAAATACAACCCGAATATAACATTTTCTAAATTATTTTGGATGATTTTGCTTATTTTTTTGGGAATTTAGTATGACCATTAAGTGATAAATTTCTCAATAAAATTAGGTCATAATAAATTTTAAAATAAAATTTATTTTGAGAAAAAAATAATCTCAAAATAAATTAAAAAAACTTATGAGGTTAATTATCAAATTATTCTGGTCAAAACTTCTAATTTAATTTCAAATTTAATTCCAGCTGTGTTTTGAGAGAAGATTTTTCAATTAAACTTCTTTATTTTTATGAAAGAAATAGATAGGCCTAATTAAACTTCTTGTAAAACAGAAGATATTTGATGGTGTCTTAATAATAAAATTGTTATAAAAAACTATTAACTAATTTCTCTTAAAAGTCTCAAACAAAATCATAAATTTCATTAACTATTCCATAAAAAACATGCTAAAATTCTAACTCATAAAGCTAATGTAATAAAAAATTAAAATATTAATAAACTTTTGATCGAATCTAAACACAGATTGGAACCACCAAAATTTACAACTATGATTCAACATATACAAATATATACAAATATATATATATATTTTTTTTTTACACACTTATCTGCAACATAGTGATTGAAGATATAACTACTCATCATAAAATTGTCAATTCAAATCACACAATCACCATTTAAACTCACTAAAAAACATAAATAAAATATATAATCAAATCGAACATTCAAAATATTCATCAGGTACACATTAAAAATAAAAACTTATTATTGAAAGACAAAACTCTTAACCAATTTAAGTTTCTTAATTACTCTACAATCACCACTCATACAATCACCAGGCCTATATGATGGAATGTACAAAGTTTGAATTCCAGCACCAAGAAATCACATAGAATGTAGTAGAAACATAAATGGAAGATTTACATGCATATCACTCGATTCTTGTGTGTTTATATCTAAACTTCAAATTTTACATTCAGAACATTTTATCCATGCAAGAAAATGTGTATTTTATGTTTTAAAAGTTAAAGTGGCAATATTTTTATTCGAACATGTAAAAAGTTTGGGTGTTCCAGGCTTTTGCTTCGCAATTCATCCATGAATGCAAAATGATAAAGAAACTGCAAGCAAGAATCAAAGGAAGACACAACTCACAACAAACAGATTCAGTAATATTTGTTCCAGAAAGAAAGACGATGAGTAAATTCAGGAAAGCAGAGGCACAAATAAGTTCTCAGCACAACCGATTCAATCCTGGGAACATTTCCAGAACATGGAATGCTTCCAAAAACACGCATTGTAGCAATATTATAAAAACAAAGAGAGCCACGCCGAAGCTTTATTTAAAATGAAATACGATACGAAGGGAGACCAACTACATCTTTGTTCCAGAATTGGTTCAATCTTCATCATAATTGTGGCGATGGTGATGATGCTTTTGATAGCTGGGTTCGTCTTCTCCGTCATCACGAGATTCACTTCCCTGGTAAATAGATGCAAAAAGATCTACATAATTAGAAAAATTGCAAAAGAGACAAGTTGGGGTATGCTGAAAATGTAATAATCTTCTGAAGGGGAGTAAGGAGGGTTCACTTGCAAATTTCATTTTGAATCAACGCAAAGTATATATGCATTACAATTGAAACCACTTGAGACAGCAACAAACGACAATGCTTTCATTTCAAGGCATGTGAATTGCATCTAGAACACATACACACATGGAAGAAAAATTACTTTGGATATTATGCAAAGCCAACTCAAATTTTAGATGTGCAAAGAGAGCACACATTTTCCATTTAATCAAGTTTTACCAACAAGGTATGATTGGGTCTGTCTGATTAAGTGGACAAACCGCTAATGATCAACACAACTCTAAAACTAGGAGGAACCTTGTTTGATTTGTGCAAAAGGCATCTATAATTCTAGGAAATTGCAAAGAAATTAGCGGTAAGCCATTGACTAGAGTGACATGCGCGAATAGTTTGATGTGATGTCAAGGTGATTGACAGGGTGAAGATTTCAGCATGTGCTTTTATCCTCATCCAAGCTTATGCCAAAGCCCTTTGGTGATGTTACTAAGCCAGTCTTCGCATTGTGATCCTTTTTATGCTATGCAGCACTCCCTCCCACCCCTCCCGACGTTCGTGCGTGCATATACATGCATACAATGCTCAGCCTTCTTCTTCTTACCCCATACCTCGTCCTACTACTACAAAGGCCTCTTGCACAGAAGTTAGGGAGGCTAGAGGATGATACCCCCATTATACAGGCTGAGGTATATGGGTTAGCTGATAGAGGCCATTGTAGCGACATAACACACCTTTTAAACTAAAAGGTGATAAATTATGAGCATGCTACCCATTATGGCACATCTCCTCTAATCGTGCCCTGAGGGTGAGTAAATAATTAGTTAATATAATATATTTTAAAATAATAAGCGAGTAAAACCAAAAGTTTAGATGAGACTATAACTTTAAAGTTACTAATTACTAAAAACTTGGAGACCTTTCAAATCAAAAAAGGTGAGCCTATTAAAAACTTTAAATTATAAAATAAGCCTGTTATGCCAGCACCTAAGATCTATTTAGTCTTTTACACATTTATGGACAATTTAGTTTTTTATTAGTTATTATTGTGGGCTATTAATAGGGCTAATACGTTTACGATTAGGGTTATACATGAGATTGTGGTCTTGAGTCTTAGTTTTAGGATTTGGGAGAAATCGCCAACCCCTCGAATTGTAAGTGTTTATATTTATGCATTTAAGTTGTGCGGTTTTTGTTAGTGAAGAGAATATTTTATTTGATCTAACTTTTGTGGAAAAATTTATTCCGTATAAAAGCATTCGGTTCTGGGAAGAAAGAAGAATAGATCGAGAGTGACCTTGTTGCAATCCTAGAGCTAGAGTTTCCACATGGAGCGAATGATGAAATTGAGAGAAGGATCGCGCGGTACGGGGCGATAGAGTCGATCAATCAGTTACACCTGGGACACAACGACAAATCGTTATCGTGACACAATAACAATTCGAGCTAGCGGGGATGCCAACGTCGGGATCCCAACGTGTCATATAGTCGTTATTCCAGCTAGCTGGAACGCCAACATTGATATTACGATGGACAAGGAAGCCGGTTATGAGATTAGCATAGTCGCACGGGGCCGTGACATATAACACAATCTCGATTTGGTCGAGTTGGGAAGCCAACATGCAAGATTTCGACAAACAGATCCCCATGTGGTGACCTAAGCTCTCGATACAGTCGCTATTGGAGAGCAGTGAATATGGGATCACGACGTACAGATCCATCGAGATTCTAGCTGAAATCTGATCCTTAGATACCATCACAAACAACTTGATTTTTAGCAGGGAAGCCTATAGAAGGATCAGTGTACATGAGAGGATTGAGCCTTACAATACAATAGTGATCCGAAGCAAACAACGAGGTTAAAGGAGTTCCAAAACCATACAGAACAATGGAGGACAAGAAAAAAGATGCTTTGGAGAAAAAAATTAAAGGTAAATGTGTGCCAATCAAATATGGAATTGAGGAGTGTTTCTTGTTCGTTGAGGGGCGGCTCCCGACTTCGTACAAGGGAGATACACGGTTTTGAAAAAAAATATAAAGAAGACCACAAAGTGTCACACAAAAAAACCTCAGCTGGCTGCGAGATCAAATGATGGCGTTTAAGGCAAGTGTGAGCGGCATTTGTGCAGTATCAAGGCAACATCACTGTTCTAGGTGGATCAGGAGCCACAAAAGCGAACAAAGGAATTGAGAGCATACTTGAGCGAAAGAGCTGGAAAGGAATAGGGTGACATCCAGACGATTGGAAGGAATGGAAGCATTTGAGATTCAATGAAGGACTCAAAGGCGACTTCAAACAACATCATCAACAAGGAATTGCACGACATCAAGAGATCAGAAACACGTGTCAGCAAGCAAAATAGGACAACGTGCAATTTGAGGTTGGAGAAGTTTGATTAGAAGGATTTTAGCATGGAACAGGGAACCATGGTGAGTGGGACCCTGACAGTTGGTTGCATTCAACTGCGCTAGTGCCTTTGTTGTTGCGGTCTCCTGGTAGAAGACAATTCAAAAGTAATGATGAGAATGAGATGGGTGGAGCGGAGCAGGAGTGTACTAGCCTATTTTGACACTATTGAATATTCAGGAAGGAGACAAGATGATGATGCTTCGCAGTGACCCCATTTTGTGCAAAACTTTGGTGATGCTTAAGACCACAGTGAGAAATACATGAGGCATGACTGAGATTCTTATCAAGTTGCAAAGCATGAAAGAGACACATGATACAGAGTTGCGGAGTTTCAAGTGATCGATGAATTATGAGATGAGTTATTTGGAGCAGTGATATTTGCCAAGATTAATTTGAAGTAGGGGTGCCATAAGATTCTGAAGCGGTCAAAGAATGTTCACAAGACGACATTTCAAACTTATGAGAGTTGCTTATGGAAAGGATTGTCGGGTGATGACATCACGTGGAAGCGATACGACTTGATCCAACAAAGATTTCTTCTTCTACCACCTTGAGGATAATGCATCTTTTTTGCGAGGAGAGTATTGTTACGTTGACGTCGAAATCTTGAGAGTTACTACGAATTCCTGCATAAATGAAAATGATTGTTAGATAATGACGTCACGTGGAAGCGATAAGACTTGATCCAATAATAATTTCTTCTTCTCTCTCTTTGAGGACAATGTAACTTTTGCGATGAGAGTATTGCTATGTCTGCATCTAAGTTCAATTTTGTCTTTTATGGGTCTAAGGGTAACTTACTCTTTCATTAATTATAATTGTGAGGTATAAATAGGGCTAATATGTGTAGGATTAAGGTTATGTATGAAATTGTGATCTTGAGTCTTAAGTTTAGGGTTTAAGAGAGATCACCTACCTTTTGAATTATAGATATTGAGAGAGATTGCATACCCCTTGAATTGTAAGTGTTTCTTTATGTATTTGAGTTGTGTAGTTTTCGTTAAGGAAGAAAAATATTTTATTTGTCATAATCTTTGCGGAAAAATCATCTTGATCCTAATCTAAGCCTTTCATAAAAGTTCAATAATTATAAAATATCATTATCTAATGTGGGGCCCAAAATTATTATCCAATGTGGGGTCCAAAAATTTTAGGCCCCAACCTCTTTCATGAGAAAGATTTTGAGAAGTTCTGGATCAATTTTTGGATGGTAGATTATACTACAAATAACATTACTCAGATTTCACTCTCATTTTGTGAGGATTTTAAAATATGATTTAAGGTTGGTCATGATCTAAACCCTGTACCATTAATTACTTCCTTTCAAAATAAGGGGCGGAACTTCTGATTAAAGCTAATCATTAAGATGCTAATTACTTAGTGTATAGCAGCAACAATTAGGTTTTAAGTTGCAGAAAATTCATCATTAGAAGCATAGAACAAGTACAACGGAATAATGATTAACCTTATCAAAATCTCATTTATGAATCTTTTGAATAGACTGAAGCCACATCTCAACTAATTTAGTCTATAACACAAAGTCATCAAGCCCATCAAATTATACTTGATTCTCAGGCTTTCTTTAGGTCATAAGCACCAAGCAAACTTGGATCAATGTACATGTGAGCAATCCCAAAAAATAAATTTAATTAATCAGTACAAATTATTTATAACTTATGATAATAAAATCCACTATTATGTTTTCAATATCCACGATCTTATAATTCTCACTTTTGGTCCTTCCAACAGAAATAAGCTCTAATGTACTTAATATAAACTAAACACTCACCGAACTAGACTTCTATCACCCAAGGCATCACTTAACGTGAATCAAAATCCAACCTAAAACTTCAAGCTCCTTATTCAAAGCAACTTAAGAAAACACCAAAATATTCTTTACAATACAGATGCTAACCTCAATAGAAAGGTATTATCCATTGAAGACTGTGTAAAGTCAAATGTCAGATATGGAGCACAATATAAAATAAACGTGTCTTCCAAACACACAAAATCAATCATAGATGCATAAAGTATCACCTATAAATTGTGATAATGTTTCAAACTTATAAATTTAAATAAAATATGCAATGGATTTTAGTTATCACTGGCATGTTCAATAGCTTTGAACCACGATAAGCCAATGTTTCTCACACATAGGCTGTCCAACATATTTGGCATAGCTATTCCTCTACTTGTGAGATGAACTAGGATTGCACCTCAAGTAGTCTTGGGTATATAGGACTAAAGTCCTCACCTAGCATATGGGGCCAAGTCTCTATGCTGTCAAACGCAATTCAAATTAACATCTGCATGCGAATTATGCACGCTGCCTCAAAAAAATCAAATCTCATAAACAAGAAATGGTCATATCATGCTTCTAAACTTTTATCAATCACATCCAATACCATTAAAAGTGGCCATGTTATGACCTCAAACTACTTAGTGAAAGTTATATAGCTAGCTCTCTATAGTCAATGAGTTGATATCAACATCAAAAGCATGTTTTGACACAAACATCCACCCTAATCTGCTCAAAATACTTGGAGGTAACTGATGGACATATTATATTAGACCAAAGTCTTCACCAAACATATACACTTAACATATACATCCACCCTAGTATACTCAAAATATTTAAGAAAAGGAAACTAATGGCCATGTTATAATAGACCTAAGTCTTCACCTAGCATACAGGGTCAAGATTCTATGCTCTAAAAACCAAACCAATATGTGGCTTACACAAGCTTCTTAGAGCAAAATCAACACGTGAACAATCAATAGTCATATCATGCCTCTAAATTCTAATTAATAGTGTCTAATATCTTTGAACAGCAAGTGGCCATATTATGGCTCAAAATTATTTAGGGGTTGTTTGGTTGACTGAACTTGTGGTGTACTAATAAAGGAATTTTAAAAAATTATGTGTTAATATGAAAAACTACAAATACAATGTAAAGTATGAATGGACTTGAAGTTTAAGCCCCACTCCCCCACCACCACGGCCCACCCGTCCTCGCTGCTGTCAGCTGTCACCAGTCACCGGCCGTCCGCCGCCCACACGACACTTGTTGTCAGTCATAGTGCCCCCTGTCAACTGTCTGTCGTTACGCTCACCGCCAACCATCCACCGCCGCGCCTACCGCCATCCATCATCATCCGTCAGCCGACCGCCGCCGCCGCCGCCTATCGTTGTTGTCACATGCCACTGTAGCCACCCGCCAGCTACTGCCCGTAGCCGCCCGCCACCAGCCCCGACTGCCACTGGCTGTCCGTTGCGATGCCCACTAGCCTCCTGCTGCCTCCAGACAAAAAAAAAAATATTTTGAAATACATTTTTTTCAATCTTCTTCAAACCAAACAACAAAATATTAAGTCTTACGTTTATTTTGCAGTGAATCTAACAAGTTGAAAGTATTTCAAATATATTGTAATCATAATACACTACAAACCTTTTACATTTCATTTCATTTTTAGCAAATCAAACAGCCCCTTAGTAAAAGTGATATGGCCAACTCTTTGTTAGTGAGTGAGTTAGTATCAACCTTAAAAGCATATCTTTAACAAATAAATTGACCCGAGCCCAATTGAAAAAACCGGAGCAAAAAAATCTATAGCTACTAAATAATCTCCTTGTTGGATATAATAATACCCATTAAGTGCAATTCTATTAAAAAAATAATCATAATACTTTCAAATGTCTATTTGTTTTATTGTAAATACATAAATAAATATATAATTATATTAAACTTGGATATGTCTATTAAAACATGTTTTCAAATAATTTTTTATCTTTGAATAATTGCAAAAAAAGGACCGCCAACAAGTACTTCCCACTGAGCAAATAATCAATAACATATCAGCATAAATTCATGGAGTTAATCAAGGCTGAATTTCAAACAAGAGGCGTAATCAAAGTTGCATTTCTAGAATAAAATTAGATGCATATGAACCAACAGTGCGGGTATCTGTGTGGATAATGTTGAGTTCGGCATATGAGATTCTGCCATATAAGAAAGACATGGGAGGATAATTCCAAAATGCAAGGAGATGGTAAAAGGGAATGCTTAAATTTTCAGATAAATGTAGACATAAAATTCGCCGTCATGAGATACAAATATGATTTCAATTCCTTAATGGATTATCTAAGCAGAACTTGCAAAAACCAATTGAACTATAGGCCCAACAATGCCATATTCAGATTTAAAAAGTTTAGGCAATAAACCAACATTCTTGTTTGTGAAAAACTGAGCAGCAATACAAACAAGTTTTTTCAAGTTCACACCCCCATATGCACAAGCTGATAAAGAAAGATAAATCGTGAAGAAAAGTGAATACTGAACTTGTATAACATGTTCAATCTGACATAGCATTATATTCATAATACGAAAGGTTAGAACAAACAATACACTGGAAGAATAATCATTTCATTGTGCGTTCAATAGTCTAATTTCTATAAACTTCTACATTTTCAATGCGACAATGAGATGCATCATAATGCACTGCAGAAGAACTCTCGCAACACGCTACAGTCAACTTGTCATTACAGAATAATTATATAAAAAAAATTTCTTGCCATCATCTCCAGAAACTTAAAATTAAAGAAAATAGTAACTAATGTTACCAGAGCAGCCAAAACCACATATCAAAGCAATAATAATAATGTCAATAATAATAATAAACTGAATTTAAACAGCTTAACAAAGCATTGGTAAAATAACGAAAAGGCATAAACTTTTCTTCACCAAAACTAAATAAAAAAATAAAACTTCAAGAAAAAAATCCGACTATGAAAATATTAACTAAAAAGAACGGTAAAATTGGCCTATCGAACTTCGCATTTTTCCCTCACACAATCAACATAATGAACTTTGAACGATTCTGTTTTAACAAGAAACAGCCATTCCATGGGTCCCAGAGCAAGCACGGGCGGCTCCATAACGAGTCCGGCCACTTGTCACTTGACAGATCTACGCTCCAGGATCCTACATGAAAAAAACATGCAAAAAAACAGAGAAGAATTTGCACTAGAACGGACAGCAAGAAACAAAGTGAAGAATCACTTGGCTCGGTTCGGGCGCTGACCCTGCCCGAAAATAAAAATACAGAAAAGAATAACAAATTCGCCGCAAATTTCAAAAAAAATGTAAAGAATCTAACAAATACACCACAATGAAGACAAAATAAAGTAATAAATATGGAAATGGTCTCACATATTTGGAACGCCCATAATATCCCTCATATTGCTCTCCGTAGCCGCTTGGCTTCCCGAATCCGCCGCTCTCGTCTTCATCACCATAGCCAGACTTCTTATACCTCCCAATCCCTTCATCATCCCCGCCAAAGCTCGGCCTCTCATATCCTGTCCTTCCCCCATAGCCAGACTGTTCATTCCTTCTGTACCCCCCATCTCCTCCTCCATAGCCCTCTTCCTCGCTCCTCCGATATTCAGCCCCACCATAACCTTCATTCCTCCCGTACTCGCCGCCACCATAGCTTTGCTTTCCATACCCTTCAACATTGCCTTTCCAGTGCTCACCTCCAGGAAAACCATGTTTGCCATACCCTTCCTCATCCCCCCTCCTGTAATCGTCCCCACCATAACTTTGGTTTCCATACCCTTCCTCACCGCTCCTCCGGTAATCCCCACCATCGTAACTTGGTTTTCGATACCCTTCGTCCCCAAAACGATTCGTCTCCTCCTGGTAGCCATAACCCGGTTCTTGCTGTGCTATTCCCCCATAACTGTCATCCTCGTCTCTCTTCGGCCTCCCTCCATAATCGGATCCGTACTCCTGCCGCTGTGGCCCCCCGCCATAGCTTGATCCGTATCCACCAACAGAGCCTCCATCGCCGCCATAGCTAGATGAGGAATCAATCTGAGGCTTAGGGCGCGATCGACCATACCGATCCCCGAAATCCACGTCCTCCGCATCGTAGGCGGACGTGTGGGAGCCGGAGGAATACTGTGGCCGCTCGTAGTCGATTTCCCCGGCCATGGATTGACAGTAACACGTCTCATCGGAAGGGGAAAGTGGTCGACCGTAGGTTAGGGCTAGGTCATAGCCGCCAGAGTACGGCGTCGGATCATAGTCGTCGAAATCGTCGACCGCTTCGTCACTGCGAGATCTCCAGAACGACATCTTGGCTCTTTCTGGAAGTCACGGTGGAGATCGCTGCAGATAAAGAGAACGGGGGTTATTTAAAATTGCCTCAGATATCTGGATAATTACAGTTTTGCCATTCTGGGGACAGTTGGTTGTGCTGAGTTGACAGCATAGTTGCGTTGGCTTGGGAGCTAAACCGACCATGTCGGCAGACCCGGTTCAATTTTCAAGTTAAATTGGACCGTTCATTTAACATGCTTAAATAATTATACAATCTTAGAAACTTATTTTAGGCTGCATTCTGTCAGAATATCCACAATGATAAAAAATTTATCATCTTAATATTTAATAAATACCTTACAAATAACTAAACAGCCATCTGGAATCCTTCTATTTTATTTTTTATCTTTTATTTATATTTTGATTCGAAGTAAATCAAACTTAAAATATTAAAATAAAAATTATTTAATAATTTAAAATAAAATATATTTTAAGCTACGTTTGTGGCGGAGCGGTCTTAATTATTTTTAAAAATAATTAAAATATCTAACATTTGATTTTAGTGTTTTAAAATTATTTGATTTATTTTAAGATAATAAATAAAAATATTTTAAAAAACTAAAAAAATAAAACTAATTTTAAGGGGGTGGTTGGTGGCATAGTTAATAGGATTTAGCCACAAGTTTAACATAAATACAACCAAACATAAGAAAATTAAAAATTTAATCCAACGTTTTATTAAATTGAATTTTTTTTTTGCATTCTAAATCTTCTATCTTTTTTAGTAAAAAATGCATTTATTAAATTATCCAATATTTATAATAAAAATATTGTTTTAACATGCACTAAATAAATTTAATTTAAATAACATTAATGATATGATTACTATGTTGCAATTTTTTTTTTTCATTACAAATATTAGTGTACATATTTTTTCTTATTTTATCATTATTTAGCAAAATATAGATATAGCTTATGTATGATATTATGAAAATATTATACATTCCATAAAGCCATACCCTGCGTGCTGATTTTAATTTTATAATTAAGAATTTATTGTATTTAAATTTTTTTAGGCTTTCTTCATAAGATCTCACTTATTTACTTATATTTATTGTCAAATTATAAAATTATATTTATATATTTATCGTCAAAGGTTTTATTCTCCTAAGATTATTTATATATACTTATTCAAGGGGTCATTTTATTAACAAATTATTATCTAAAAATAGATAAAAATTTAAAATATTATTTTGTCGGGATAATTACATATAGGCCAATCAAAATATTGATATTATAAATTAATTATTTTGTTAATTTTTTTTAATATCAAATTAATATATTTACGTGTGTCATGATCAAATTATTACGAATTTAATAAAAACGAGAAATATGAGTTGCGGGTTTTTCATCAATTTTAATATTTGAGATTTTTTTTTTTTAATTCTTATTTAATCTGGTGTGTGATGACAAAGAAGAGTGACGTCCTGTAAATCTAAATTTAAGATGAAACATGAGATATTTTGATTTAAGGGAGAGTTAAATTTAATATATATATATATATATATATATATATA